TTAAGTTATGCTGGCTGACCATAAAACGTTCTCACATAGAGAAAGATAATGTTAACAGTTTGCTACGTTTAATACGCAGTGTTGCTTTATCGGATCTCAGATTGTGAATATTTATTTGGTTGTTGAAAACTGGACACGCACAAATTATATGCTTTAAGCTTCAAGTAGTTAAACTTCCTAAAAATTTTGTCTTCTTTAGAACCTATTGGTAATCTTAACAGAAGTGTCGCGCCTGGGATAGAAAGTTCCTAAAAAGAGTCTTGTTGGATAAAATAATTATCTGAATATTTAAACTGATGTCCAAATAGAGGTTTTAAATTTCTTTATGTTCTGACCTGAAACTTGTATGCCATGAGCTTATTAAATAGATATGTTTTCTTATAGAAAGAAATGCATTTTCATGACCATAAGAAAAAGTGCACTTAAAATGTTTGTTTCAAAGTCCATTGCAAGCTGTTTTTGGGCTAAGAAAAGAAGAAAAAACAAAATTTTTTCGTTTGAAGGTCGGGTTGGAGATCAAATGATTTTTCATTCAATCAGACCATTAAAGTGAAATCTTTGATTTGTTTTTACGTGAACATAGTTGGAAATCAGGCCGGCACAGCTTAAGCAGGGACATGTGTAACTGCAAGGTGTTTCTGATTGACGCACAGTTCCAAATATTCGACTGAGTTTGTTAATAATTGGCTGGAAGAGTAAATTTGGTACGAAATTGAGTACTTTGTTCTTAATATTAGAAGCTGGCGTACTATATCCGCAATATTGGCTTGGCCATTTTTAATTACGCAATCGCGAACCCAAAAGCCTCTTAAAAGCACTCTACCTAAACGAGGCATATATGTATACAGTTTTGGATAGCATAAAGCTTAATTAGGCCTAGCTTAAACTTATATGTGCTTATTGGATCGGGCACTTAAATTTCAAGATTCTATCCAAATTGGATATACCGACCTTATTAACATTTTTACCATCTCCAAAACTGCTTGTGAAAAAGAAAAGTCGGAATTTTAATGCCGCCACCCCCTACGATTGTTCTATGCCAAAAAAATATACCCCAATAAAAAAAATAGGGAGTGCTCAAAGCGCTCAAAGGGCAATTGTTTCTTTAACAATTTTTTCATGATAGCTATATTTCATAGGTCCGCTAAAACCCTCCGAAATTAAAATGGGGTGACCAATAAAAAATCTTTAGTATTAAAAAACGGTTAAATAAACACTTGGATATTAATATTGGAAGCTGCTGAAGAGAGACACAGTTTTCCAATGGAAAAATATTGAGTTTTAAGAATTTTATACCATTTCTACAAATAGTTTTTTTTCCCCCATATAAAATACATGGAAAACTTTGAGCGCTTTGAGCACTAAATATTTTTTGATTTAAAAGTAAAAAAAAAAATAGGGGTATATTTTTTCGGTGTAGAACAATCCTAGGGGGTGGCGGCATTGAAATTCCGACTTTCCTGAATTTCCTACTTTTTGACATGCATTTTTGGACCACCCTAATGAACATATGTGCTATGTAATAATTAGATTCTCAAAAATTTTAGATTTTAAAGATGGTAAAAAACGTTAATAAGGAGGTCGTCGAATTCCGATCATTTGTATTTTTATGCCCTTACAACGAAACGAAAACCGAAATGCCATTTGTGTTAAAATTACACTTCCATTTTTATTGGAGTGTTGCCACAGAAAATTCTAGTTCACTTTAAAGAACGAACTAATGAACTAGTTCAATTAAAAGAGCTGGGCTCTTTCGCTCTTTAGTTCAAAAGCTCCCCAAGCCTAATGAAAATGATAAGTGCCGCATACGCCCTGTTGTCCAGGAGTGAGTAAGCATTTTACGAAGGTAAATCTTTTTGTTTGGCTCGCATGTCAGCAAATACTAATTCTTCTGCTGAATATCAAAAAAAAAAAAGCTACTAGCGTCATTATCAACATCAACAACAGCGCGCAACAGCAGTGTGGAAATCAACGTCAGCATCTGCAGCATCAGCAGTTTTATTGCTGCTGTTTCTTTGCTTCAATGCTTGCAGCCAGCAGCTTTTACGCTCCGCTATTCAATTTCACACTTAATTTGATAAGCGTTGCGTACGTGCGTTTCGCATCACTAGCAAGAGAAATGTTTTTCACAAATACACCTGCATGCGATAGGTTTTTTAGTGGTAACCTTGCAATGTACATTAGACCGCATCACTCCCCATAAAAAAAATATAAAATCGGTACTATGTTTCCATGGGTATTATAAAATCTATTATATTTTAAGACACCCACCAAAATATTTCGGAAAAATATTAAGATTTACGTGAGCTGTACCGATTTGAAAATACCTCTAAAAATGGAGTTTTTTTTATAAATAAATATAGTTTATAAAAGATTTTTTTTTTTTTAAATTCCCTCAAATGACAAAATGGTATAAAAAAGCTTAAGAAATTTGCATAAAAATATTTCTAAAATATTAAAAAAAAAATTTAAACGGATTCGTAATAATGACATTTTTGATGCTGTTTTTTTAAGAAACTATTTTTATTCATACAAAAGCTCCATTTTTGGAGGTATTTTCAAATCGGTCCAGTTCACTTAAATCTTAATATATTTCCGAAATATTTTGTTGCACATCTCAAATTATAATCGATTTTGTAATACCGACGGAAAACCCGCAACTTTTTTTTGGTGATGCAGTCTAATGTACATACATACGTAGGTATGTACGAGTGTGTGGTCTTCTGTGCTGGCATGCGTTGGCACATAGATATGTATGTATCTTCTCCACTTCTGTTGATGATTTGTTCTGCTCCACTGCACTACACCGGACACTTTAGTGATTTTTTCTGCTATGTCATGTCGTATGTTTCTTATCTGTGCTGTGTCCATTGCAGGCTTTTTGTTGCTGCCGCTTTCCTCTTCATTACCTGTGCTGCTTTTATTGCTGTATATTTTCACATTTTCTACGCAGCGTACTTGAATATGTTAGTTTGGTATGTACGTCCGTCCGTCCGTCCGTCCGTCCGTCTTGCATGCATAATCACCCAATAAGCGTATAAAAAGTTACTTTTCCGCCTATCTTATTTTCGAACTAGCCGCGGTTTGTGTGGGTAGAACAGCAGCAGCAGCAGCAGCAGCTAGGACCAAGGTAATGCTAATAGGAGGCAGCGACTGAAAACAAAAATGTGTGCAAAGGCAAAAGTTTTACGCATTTGCTGACGGAACTTTTGCAACTTTTTTTTCGAGCGCTGCTCTAACTTTCTGCTATATTCTGTGCGGCATTTTATAGATGTCTCTTTTATTTACAATCAAATAGGCTTTAATATTACTAAATAATAATTTTATGTTCAAATAAAGATGACGTAAGCGCATATTAAATAGAATCGACACGTTTGTATATACATACAGTGGTCGAAATAATTATAGCCGCTGCATATTTTGACAAATTTTAACATACTATTTTTGTTGCTATTTAATTTTGGTTATTTTTTTATAAAAATGTAGTTCATTATTTAACAACACTCGTGTAAATCCAAGGTTCAAACTTTGTGCAATATTAAAAAAAAAAAATTCAACAAACTTCGTAAAAATTTCGAATAAGACTTCCTAGAAAGATTATGAGTATGCAGTTTTGTAGCCCATTAAATTCTAGTGGAACACAGTAAGGGTCAAATATCTAAAAGTTACGGTTACTTTTGATCAAAATCTATATAAATGAAAATGAAATGTCTTTCGTATGTCTAACGGCTACATCGGTTTCGAAGTACTTTTTTTGAAGATTCTGTGCGCAAGGTTTTTCATTAAAAAAAAAAAATTCAAAACTTTTTGTTGTTATTGCCGAAGAACAGAAATTTTCGCACAGCGTACATTTTTGTCACTGAACATATTTTTAAAATGATGCGAAATTATAAAAGCTTTTTCAATTTTGTGTTCGCTAAAGTTTGATCGCGAGTAAAATTTTAACTGACAATAAATTTCTTCGAGTTAGTTCCGTACCAAAGACAACAATTAAAAGTTATTTAAATCATAAGCTTCACTGGAGCATGAGCTTTCAAAATCGATGCTTGAAAGCCTTCACTGCCCTATATGATCTTTATAGGGTTTCAGTGCTAGACAACGGCACAGCTGAAATGGTTACAGTGGCTAAACATCTTAATTCCGGCCACAGTTGTTATGCTTGGCAACCCCATTTACACTCAGAAGTTCTAATAAAACTTCATAAAGTAGACATCTTTAATAAATATTTGGACGTAGAGAATGTAAAGTAAAGTTCAAAGCGGTCGGCCTCTGCTGGGCAATATTTTCCCTGGGGAATATTAATTTATTGTGCAATAATGATCTAGAGTTGCTCGTATCGTCTTTTTATCACTGTGGCAGTTTTTATATTCCTCCCAGTTTTTTTTTTATTTTTACATATCGCGTGACATAGTAGACAGCATGAATAACAAAAAAAAAAAAAAAAAAAATTATAAAAAAAATATTAAAAAAAATAATATTGTTTTTGCATGATGTACCTTAAAGCCCTCATTCATAACAGATAAAGTAGCTTGAAAAAGCTTTATAAAATGACATTTTCATAAAAATTTTCGATTTATAAAGTATTTAAGGTTTACTTTATTTTTTATGAATTTGGGGGTAAATATTTATCTACAAAGGTGTTAAAATTAAAAACGGTTAACTATTGTAGTTTAGAAGAAATTATCTTATATGTTTTGTCATACTTTAACATATAGCTGTCAATATCTTGGGAAAACATAAGCATTATAAGTAATATTCAATTTTTTTTTTCAAAATTCATGCCTTGGCGAAATTTTCGAGGTACATTGTACTCAGATAACTGCGCTTTTTACAATCCTATACTATAGCACACACGTTTCACATTCATGCACATCAAAAGAAATATCATCACGCATACACACCAACCATTGTTCACTTAAGCACTTAGTAGTTGCTTGAGTAGTTATCTCTACATATGTTTATCAAAGTATAAATGGCTGCTTAGATCTTATCGAACTTACCCTATCACCTTTCTCGCCAGTCATTCCTGGATCTCCACGTTCACCCTTCTGTCCCTGCTGACCGCGTTCGCCCAACGCTCCGGCATCACCTTTATCTCCAGGCGGTCCCTTGGGTCCTGGCGAAGAGCTACGCATCGGACGCATTGAATTGCCCATTAAGGATTCCTGTGTATTTATGTTTGTTTTTTTTTTTTTTTTTTGTGTTCATTTACATTTCAAAGCCATGTGTGTTATGAATGTGTGTGTTGGAAAGTAGAAAAATTAGAAAAATATGTTAGTAAAGTTTGCCGAATAGCAGGTGCAGGGTAAGGAAAGTTAAATTTAAGCATAAAAAAGATTGGAATGTAACCACATATGTACACACATACGTATACATATATTCAAAGCTAGTGCTTTGGCTTTTTTTAAGCTTATGCACTAATACACACGCATGAATCCTGTCAACTGCCTACGCTTGCTGATTTAATTTCTTTATTTTTACGACTTTTCTTCATTTTATTTTTCTACCCTCTTCGAATTTTGCCTGCTGCAGTTTTCTTTGCTTTTCAGCTTATCTCTTTGGGTTCGGGTGCTGTTATTAGTACCTTTTGATTGCCTTTTCTTTTTTGCTTGGCTTGTTTGCCAGGTATCCTTTTGGATATGTGATAAGCACGTTTTGATTAATGATGCCACATTCACAAGAAAATCTCATTTTACTATTACGGCACGTTTTTATTATTACTATAAATGTTGTTGTTGTTGTTGTCATCTTTATCGCTTTAGCAACCTCTCAGAGCTAATGTGTATAACCCTTATTTTAACTTTTGTTTGCTTGCCAACCTTACAAACTACACCAATACATCTGCGGTTCGATGCACATAGACGAACACATACATACATATAGTATATATACATATGTATACTAACTCGATTAGCATTGTGTGCGCCTGTTGACAAGGGACTGCCGCTTAATTTTAAGCTACATACATAGCTCCTGATATAAAATTGTGTTGAAAGATTTAGGTATGTACTTTTTGGTTGAATTTTTTTATTTTTCTATTTTTGGAAAGCAATAAGGTATTTTTAGTTGTAAAAAATATACCACTCCCTATGGAAATTTGTGTGAGATCAAATTTAATTTAAGCCCTTGTGTGTCGACTTTTCATGTTTGCCATTTTAGTTTGATTTCTCCTAATTCTAGGGCACACTAACGAGTGTATGAATGTCTGTGTTACTGTTACATACTTTTTGCAGGACGAGGAATATGTGGTAATGATGAAAAAGGCTTACCGCAAGTATTTTTATTATTACAACGCTTTTATCAACTTGCAATGTTGTGTGTCTAGTTACTTGCAATGTTGTGTGTCCAGACAGCTATGAAACCTTTGCTTTGCAAAGTTCCTATAAAAAAGTACAGACATAAACCTCGTCGGTTGAGAGGCAGATGTCGCCCTATGGAAAATAGACGATACCATTTCTTTAAATGAAATTAATTGGTGCTCCTATCTATGTACATTAGACTGCATTACCAAAAAATGTTGCGGTTTTTCCGCCGGGATTACTAAATCTATTATATTATAAGACGTCCACCAAAATATTTCGTAAAAATATTAAGATTTAAGTGAGCTGGACCGATTTGAAAATACCTCCAAAAATGAAGTTTTTTATGAATAAAACTAGTTTCTTAAAGAACTTTTTGAAAAAGGTCCCCTCAGATGACAAATTAGATTAAGCTTAAAAAATCTGCATAAAAATATTTAAAAATCTTTTTAACGAAATCGTAAGAATGAGATTTTTGATGCTGTTTTTTTACTTTTTCCAAAGATTGATTGACGAAAAACTTGATTAACTGTGCCAAAAATGTTCTGATTTAGACTTATGGGATCTCAGTAGAAAGGTATTTTCACGCCATTTTTATTTCTGGCCAAAAGAAGCGTCATTTGT